CTTCTGCTGCGCTAGCAGAGTTGTCCTCAGTTTTCTTTTTGAAGCAGATTTGTGTCTGCGTAAGACAAAGTACTGCCGTGGCGCTCTGGTGCTTCTTGCTAGTTCTGTGCGCCTTCAGATCACTGTACTTAGGAGCAAGTGCACAATTGCAGTATTTACATTGGGCACACTTGGCTCCGTCTAGTTTTCTCTTTCAAATGAGCAACGTGCACAAGTCCAGGTCCCTAAACCATTCTTCTTGGAACTTCTGAAGGTAGCGCTCTTTCTGCTTTCAGCATGGTTTCGAGTTTCCTGCTCACACGTGCAGCGCCGTAATCCTAATCTTTTCTGACAAGACATAAGCGCCACTACTGGTAATGAATCCCTCGTACTAAAATGAACTACATTTTACCTCGCAAATGCCGAAATTTGCTAAAAGACGCTATCCGATAAAATTCATTGCAATTCCACTAAATAATTTGCCATCTGCTAAATGCAAATTTTCGCCACTAACGTTATCAAAATTCCGCCAGATCTAGCAGAATATCCGCTGAGATGGCAACACTGCCGCTCCCCTCCCCCTCTCTCGCCTCGCAATGCCGACGCAGGCAGCGTCTGCTAGTAAAAAAAAAAAAAAAACAACTACTCACGGTGCCCACCATTCATTGGCCACCCCATATATGAAGGCACTGGATTGCGCATTCGGAATCCAGTCAAGGGCGTCTTTACTTAACTTTCGCTGGACACTGAAGACAACGCTTCTGCTTCATTCAATAAATAAGAATAAAAAAGACAAAATAGCAATTCGGCATGTCCAAACCATACTTAATTATGCAACATTCACCTGATGCCCCCCCTCTGTGACGCATTTACTCGGGTTCCCCCCCTCCCCCATGGAAAGATGCGGGCGGCTTTTCTTATTTTGTGAGAATGTGCCATTTGCAGCTGTGCATGCCGAAACCTAAACAACATTAGTGTACACCACCTCTTCATGCTAACAGAGGTTCCTTGGTAATATCACTGTGTCATGTCATCAGAATAACCAAACTATAAAGAAACCAGTTTACAGATTCTTGATTGATTGATATGTGGGGTTTAACGCCCCGAAACCACCATATGATCATGAAAAACGCCGTAGTGGAGGGCTTCACAGCCCTCCACTACGCCGTAGTGGAGACGCCGTAGTGGAGGACGCCGCAGCCGGGATTCGATACCGCGACCTGCGGGTCACCAGCCGAGTACCTTAGCCACTAGACCACCGCGGCGGGGCGTTTACAGATTCCTGAACTTTTGGAGTTACCTCAGAGAAACCAGGATGTACAATGACAGCGCAATAAAAAACGAAAAATTTTGATGGCCATGTCATCTGGATTGTTCGTATCACTGCTTCTGAGTTGTGCATCTGTTAGAGATAACAAATTAACCCAATAAACCGCACTCTTCTGAGTTGGTTGTAGATGCCCAGCTGCTAGCCAGTATGTGTCCCCACAATGCAAAAATAAGCTAACTGAATCACAAGTCTGGTTAAGTTTGAGTGAGCCCGGCTGAGTGGAGCATCAGTGAGTTTCACTTCAACAGAGGTAAACTAATCAGAACACTGGTGAGTCTGAATACGATTGAGCCCTTTGAGGCTGATATGGAGCTAACATTAAAGAAATAAAGACATGCCATTCTACAATAAAACTTTGGATTCAAAAGTAACTGTAGTTTGTGTGAGCATCTTTTTCGTGACCACTTTGCTCAAAGCTATTTTCAAAGTGTATTATTCTTTGTCTGGCCCCAAACAAGAACCATTCGACTCATGCCTGTTTTGAGAATGAAGAGGCTCGATTGCAAGGCACTTTGATGACCACATTGGTTTCTAAGAACGGGCACTTCTAAAGGCTGTATAAAGCATCACTGAAGTTATATGAACAAAGTACACAGTGCTTTTGACAGCTTGGCTCAAAACAATGGAAACATGCGTCACAGCATCAACAAGCAGTTTGTAGCCAGGATTGCCAGGTTCGGCTACTTTGAGCCAAATTAGATACTTTCCGAGATCAGTGTTGGTAAAAATATTTTGGCAACTTGAATATTCTTTTTTTGGTTTCTTTCTTGTTCTCTTTAGTTGAACCAAATAATCAATATCAGGTGACGTCTAAGCTGCTAGCATTTTGGTATGCAGAGTCAAAACTTAGCTAAAGCCTGTTTCGAGCTCATAAAATTCAATTTAGCACATGTATTGCACAAAAAAAAAAGTTCTTGGATACAAAAAATGGGACTCGGGAGAAAAGTTGAAATAGGTGGTCCTTTCACAGACCACCTATTGATGTACACAGCTTCAAAACATAACGGGCAGTGCACTTTGCATTCACAATTGCCATTCTCGATGCATGTATTTCATAATGGCAGCATTTAATCCAATCAGAGGCCATAGGTGACCATAACTGGCCACCATTGTTAACTTAATGTCTAGAATAGCTCCCCAGGACACTCGTCAGCATTAAAAATTGGATGAACGGTCACATCATTTCTTACAGTTATGTCCAGACCGGGGTTCTTACAGGCTAACTTCAGCAATTTTTTGGAGTCAATAGATATTAATAAAATCATTGTGGGCGTTCCTTTACCCGTTTTCATCTTCTATGCCAAATTACAGGCTTGAAAGATATTTTGATCGTTTGCAAATGAATTTTAAAGATTGCCTTGAAATGCTGAACTGGCTTGCCAGAATTATTAGGAAAACTGTCAGGGTGACGTCATGTTTGGCAAGGGAACGGAAGTGGTGCAGCTGATGGCATCGCTGACTTTGGCTGCTACAGCGTTTACTGTGCTGGCCTCAATGCGAGGGCGAGTGTTTGGCACGGGAAAGCTTCCTTCCTTCTTCCGTGGTGTTTGGCCGCTTCACTGGTTTGGCGTGCAATTTTCTGTTCCCTGTGGATAGGTGTGCAATGGGTGCTAATTGCTGTCACCTCGTGGGCTGTACAAACCACTATCACAAGATGCAAATAGCTTGCTATCTGGGCTTCCCAAGTGACAGACTACATCATACACATCATGAGTACATCATGCGTTGACAGTGCGTTCAGTTTGGTTTCGGTATTCCAACTTCTTGCTGACTGACAATTACCTTCAAGTTTGCTGAGCATTTCAGCAATCGGGCGCGTGCAAAGAGTGTCTCAGGAAAATAGAAACACCACTCAAAAAACCACCAGAGTTGGCCTTTAACTGCCCCGACCTCGATCATGCAAAAAATTATTGCAAAAGAGACTACAATCTATGATTCAGCCCCAGCAACTGTCCTTTTGAGCACACTCACGCTATTATCCTTTTTACTGTCACCCCTGTACTGTCATTTCCAGACCTTTTAAGATAACTCATACAATATGCATAAAGTGTATGTCATGTTTTTCTTTTTTAATGGAACAAGACAACTTGTTTTCTTGCTTGGAAGGATTGCTAATGTCTGCAACATAAGCTTGAATTTCAACAATTCTGATTTAAAAAGATTCATACTATATGTATTTACATTTTACCATGAGGATATTACATATTGTCATTTAAATAAAAACATGGGAATTGCTTTTCATGAGTGTATGGCTACTTTTAGCTACTTTTACTGCACTTGAGTCAAGTTCACGACTTTTTGGCTATCTTTTGTCTTTTAAACCTGGCAATCCTGTTTGTAGCTATTACTGGATAAACAAAAAAAAAACAAAGAAAATCACTGTCCATTCAATGAAATTATCAAATATTGAACCTAGCCTATGAGCTCCCATGTGGCAACTCGCTGTATGCACAATCATCCCACTATCTGTGACATACACCATGCTTGGCTCTTTTCCTCAAGAGCTTGGTGCAGAAACTTCAGAATTTATTATTTATTACATGAGATCAATCTTCTTATGTCTTAATATATTTACCCTTCCACATCGAACTCAATGATGCAAGTGCACAGCGATCAAGCTTTGTTGAACCGTTTAAGTACACCAGACTCCTTTCTGCCCTTTCAAGACCTACACACTGCACAAATTTGTCATAACACAAGTATTGCTATCATTCAATGTGACAGTTAGTTGCATCGCTGATTGAAGTACCTCGAAAGAAAAATATTCTGAAAGCTAACAAAGCATACACCCAATCTGCTGGCAGGATGTGACCTAGATAGTTGCATGCAAGGTTGTGATTGTTTGTGTCCGCTAACGCGATCAAGAGGAAGTAGCAGTGCTGTGGCTGGAACTAAAAAAAAAAAATACTGTTTGCGTGGAGAAGCTGTGAGAGAGCAGTTGCATGTCGAATGCTAACATGATCACTATAACTGATATCTCACGCAGTGGCTTGAGATCACTCAAGAGATGACTCTGATTGCCGGTTTGTACTAGTCATGCTCGAAACATTAACAAGTGTGGAAGAACAATGAATGGGCGCTAAATAGGCTCGCGAATAACGTCTCAAATAACAGTTCACAGGTGAAGCGGATCTGAAATAATGGGGACGTAGGACACACAAGGCACACCCAACGGCACACATACCTGTTAAGGGCCCAGAACACAGAAAACGGAGACCACTCAGAGTGAAGACTGTTTTTAAAGGTTAATTACACGCATACACAACGAATCATTCCGGCGCCATGCCATGTAACTAGGTGCTTCGTTCAAGATACTGGAGGAGGATGCGACGTTAAGCGGAACCTACTCAGCATTTATGAAGTGCACGAGAACGTGACACATCAATGTCATAGTCGCCCATGAAAGCGTGGCGAGAAGACGTCCTCGGGCGAATCATGCGCGATCATAGGACAATTATGACGCCGAAAGACTACAATACACACCGACCGACACTTCGTTAACAAATGCGACCCCGTTCCAATGTACGCCGTCCCCCCGAAGTGTGAGTACTGCACATCCGGTTTGATTGGGCTACACACAATACACAAAGAAAGAGAGAAAAGAAATTAGAGAACGAAAGAATGTGAGACGCGATTAATTAAGCCGGAAAACTCTTCACTTGTCGGCGGACAAGTCGTGGAGGGCACATACCTGTGCAACACTATTGCCGAGATCGCACGAAGGCCGCTCGTATTTTGTCATTCACTCCACGACGTGCGATCTATGGAGTCCTGAGTGTCCAGCGGTCAACGTGCCGACTGACAGCATTTTCAGTCACAAAAATGAAACCGAGATAGCGAGTTGTCCGCAAACACAAGAGAAAACAACATGAAATCGAAATTAGCCAAACCCATCTTCTTTCTTGCTACGGCTCGTGCTACGGCATGGCTAACGTCACGCTTTATAATTTTGTAGTATTTGCAATATTTTAACAAAAATTAGGACAACTTTTATTGTGAAATAAAAAATTATGCGTGGTTTTTAGGAGTTGCATTTTTTATAAATATTTGATTGAATTGATTGGTGGCGCTACAGTCGCTAAAGGAAACCGAAAAACTGAGAAAACGTGGGAGAAACAGACACGAGCTTCAAACAAAGCGACACGCAGATTGCGGTTGTTGTGCGCGCAACGTTGCTATGGGTGAACTGAAATCCATTCAATATTTGTTGGAAGAAGAGAAACTCATCTTGGAAACTATCGAAGCTTTTCAAAAACAGATAAACAAGCTCAAGGTAGAGGAGATGAGTATATTAAGCGCGCTACGCGATCAGGAGAATAAGAGGAGTGACGGACCTAAGGAAGAGGTGATGGCGGGCGATTTCAAGGTGATGTCAGTTCTCTGGGGCGTTCATTGGGGTCATTCTATTTTATTTTTATTTTCAGAATCCCGGGACTTACGCTGGTGTTTCAAAGAACGAGGAGCTTACAAATGCCGAGGTGATAGATTTGCGAGTCGACGACATCCTGGGCCGTAAGTAAACCCCGTTACCGTGTATCCCTGTTAACGAATTAAGTGCCTGGGCCCCTGGCCGCTTGGTTACCTACGCTATCTTCTAAAAAGTTATTTCGCCGCAAACTGGCGACAAACTGAAAAGAAATGGTCTAGCAATGGTGTGGGTACGTTATTAAAAAACTGTCTAATGTATTTTCAATTTGTTTCCAACATGCTCGACCGCAGCTGCGATGGGTTTTTCAAGTCGGCAACAAAACAACAGCGAAGAAGAAGAGGAGAATGAACCGGAGAGCTGAGGTTGTCGTCGGCTTCGTGCAATATGGGTATTTTCGATGAAAATAAAGTTCACTCCAACAACTTAAGCGCTGCGCTTCAGCTCATTCGGAATGTGCCGCCTCTCGTCATTTTTGTGTCTCATCTGCACGAGGTAGGAAAGTGTCCTTGTGAAGGCGAAAGCAGTGTTGTCAGAAACGACGTTGCTCTTGGCTGTAGGCCCGTGTGATTAGATTTGTGTGCACGTTAAAGAACGTACCCCAGGTGGTCGAAATTTCCGGAGCCCTCCACTACGGCGTCTCTCATAATCATGGTGGTTTTGTGACGTTAAACCCTACTTATCAGTGGCTCTTGGGATGAAAACCAGCGTTCCATTCACGATCGGTGGAACTGTAACGGTAACTCGCAGGAACGGTAGAAAGAACGCGTTACTTCTGTAAATGTTCGATGGCAGGCCCACGAACGCAGCGTATGTCATGCAGAACAAGACAGATAGGCGACCGCGTGACGCGCTAACCATCTGTCCATCAAGTGAGTGACTGAGAAGAACTTTATTATGGTCCAGTGCAGGCGCTGAGGTTACCACGCGCCACCCGGCTAAATCGTAAAGCGGGCCCTCGACCTCCCTGTGACCACCACTAATCAGTGCCTTCTAGGCCTAAGCATGGTTAGTACGTTTCGGGAGCTTCGAGAGGCCCACTTCACAAATCAGTACACTCTACTCTCGCGGACGTGTGCCAGCTTGGGCTAGTTGGTATGGCATGAAGATAGTTATAGCGCGAGAACAAAACGACGACACACAGTCATTAATTATGTCCCTCTTGTCTGTGTCGTCGTTTTGTTCTCGCGCTATAAATATCGTCTCGCAGACGGTAGCGGGTCGCCGCCGATACATCACGGATGATCGCGTTAAACTGCCATTCAGGTGGAGATGCACCCTCTTCCAAACATGACGAAAGAGGGGTTGCTGTTTGGGCTAGTCGGTATGGCCTGACGAGTGTATAGCGCGAGATAGAACGACGGCATAGGACAAGAAGGCGACGACGAGCGCTATCGCCGAGATTACAACGACGACTAAGGGACAAGAAGAAGACGACTACGGGCGCTATCGTCACTCTAGGGTGCTATTTTGCATACAGTTTCCGAATATTAGGAAACTCTATTCTATTTTGGACATTGTCGAATTCCGCCATGTTGTCAGATTCCATCATTGATCGATGCTAAGTGAGCTAGCTGCTACGACCTCTCTGGGCTTAAAATGCCGTGATTACGAAATTTGACAAACATGGCGTCCAGAATAGCACGCCTGATCTCGCGCTGCAATATTCGTCATGAGTCTAGAGACTAGATTATAGTCAAGTGTATTTTGTTTCTTGCGTTTCTATTGTGCCACTTTGATATATGAGCATGAATTAGAAGTGTGGCTAACGTGGTGCACGAACCGGTGCCCCGTACCAATTGCGTCAACATCGTGGTGACTGCGCTTGCTTGATCATACCCTCCTAGGGAAATCCAGGAGGCTATGGCTTGATCGACAGAAGTCGCAGTCTGCAGTGCGCTGGCCTTGCCACAACAGGTAAGCAGTAGTCTCTATTATTTGTAGTTGTACTCTGCCCTGTTGGTCGCTATCTCGTATATAACAGTCATAACTACCTGTCCACATCTGACAGCGCGATAATATAGGTCTATGCTGCCGGGATTCGAGAACACTTTCCCAGAGGCTTCCCGTATTATAGTGCCGACTTTTTTGGCACCTGTAATAGCTTCCTCAAAAGTTGTGTAACTTGCACCTAGTCCTCCTCTCATTACGCTGGAATGGCAAAATTGAACTGTGCTTTGCGTTGCCCATTTGAGATTGAGAGAACAACACTGGTGTAATTGTAATGACCCCAAAGGCGTGCTTTTCCGCAGCGCACGTGCATGGCAGTGAAACCGAAGATGTTCGTGGATTGCATCGTTTGTTTCATTGGCAGGCATAGCGTTCGAAGTTCAAACCAGCACGTATTTTACTTTACGTTTATCCAACGACTTAAACTTTCATTATTATCCCCTTCAGGCGCGAATTAAATCTGACGTAGCGAAAAAAAAATTTTGTTCAGATTATGAATACATAACGCTATTAAAGAAGGAATCCACAAGAAATTCAGAAAAAAATTCATTGGTTCAATTTTTCAATGGCGTCCACATATGTGGACATTGCGCCTCAAAGCAGTCATATTGTCACGTGACCGTTACCCAAGCGCGCGCACGAAGACGCAGGGAAAGGAAGACGACGAAGGTGCGCCATGGCTTGTGCGTGGGTTTTTCGCCATACTGCCTGTTGTATAGGCTCTAGTAAATACATATTTTACATCTCGCTTTCCTTGTTGCAATACCCATGAACGGTGGAGAAGAAGAAAACAAACGCTTTTATTTCGGAGGCTCGCAAATAATCATTGCAGGAACACTGCTTAGGAAGTCTTTTCCGCAAAAATAATCAGAAAGAGTCTATTTGGTATGAAACAAATAAAAACAGTCGTTCTGAGATGTCAGACAAAGGAAAATGTTGCATTTCCTGCAGCGGACACGGCTTTTGGATGTGCATTCCTCTCTCCGGCAGCGTTGTGCGTTAGCCATGTTTACTTGCTGCGGCCAATGATTAATCCCATCATAGCGAACAGTGCTGACTGGTAGTGGTGAAGCATTGGGTACCTTCTTTTTCACTGTTCGGGAGTTGTCATTGCTCGGACGTCCACGCTTCTTTTGTGGCTTATTGCTGTTCAGCAGGCAATTCGCGACGTCTGTTTGGAACGCCATCATGTCCAGTGTCTCTTTTCTTAGTAGCCCTGCTTTATTGGCATCCCTTAAGTATTCAAGCCAACTGTTGGAGAGCGCAAAAGATGCAAAATGGGAAATCACTCTCACAGGCCACTTTTTCGTTCGCGTCCGCATTGGGTAGAGGGACATGATGAAGTCTAGTTTGTCTACTCCACCCATGTATTTGTTGTAGTCCAGGACTACCTCTGGACAGTCAATGTCAACGTGGACCTTTTGGGATTCGCTCCATCTTCTCACGGTGCCAATATTTCCAACTCCAAGGTGGGTAGAAGCCATGTTGACGGTCCCGTTGTCTTGCCAACGAACAAGGACAACTTCGTCGTTCTGGGAAACCCGCTCATCATAGCTTCCCCGTCCTTCTTTCTTCATTTCCTTGTCTGTTTTCATGACGCATCCTGCCAAGCGGTTTCCCCTAATTGTGCCACTAGCCAAAATGCCGATCTTTTTTAACTCAAGAAAGAGCTTCACGGACGTAAAATAATTGTCCATGTAGCACTTGATGTTCTGTGCCTTCGGGAGGCTTTCAACAAGGCGCATTACGACGGAGCCACCAAGGCCAAGATGTGCATGTTCTTTGCTCACTCCCGTTCCCTTCCCTTGGTAAAACTCAAAGTCATGTGCAAGACCGTCAAAACTGCAGCGTACAAAAACCTTCACGCCTTCTGGGTTCGGTTTTCCTTTCACAAATTGCTTTGCAGCAATGCGTCCTGTGAACGGCACCATCTGTTCATCGATGCTATTCTGTTCCAAGGGAACAAGCTGTAAGCAGCGGCTTCTGACAGCTTCTAGCAACGGCCCTAACTTTCCAAAATTTGTCTTGGCTGTTCGGGTCCCGTTCTTCATTAGCGTCGCTTATGTGGAGAGCGCCTCTGATTTTGAAGAATCGCTTCACGCCCATCGAATCGGCTATTGCGGGAATCCTCGTTGCAGTTTGCCAATACATTCTGACGCGTGGGTATTTCAGAACACCCATCAGCATGAGCATTCCAAAAAATATTTTGATCTCTTCTTTTGTAGTGGCTAATACGGCACCGTCTCTTTGCAGGACATACCTGTTTGTGAATTCAGCAAGGTCTTCAAATATCTGTTCGGTGAAATACTTGCTAAAATACACAAGTGGCTGCTGGCATGTCGAGGCTACTTCAGGATTGTAGTGGCAGTCAACATCACTTGGAGCAAAATCTTTCTTCACCCATTTGAACTCAGCCTTCGTAGATGCCGCAGGTGCGTTCGAGCTGACCGTGGCGTCTGGTCGTGCAGGCAGTGCAGCTGTGGTCGTGGATGCGGTCACCTGACCATTGGCAGGCTGAAACAAACAGCGTAAATTAGGGTCAAAGTACCTTTAGACAGTTTGGTGCCATATGTTTCCCGAGAACACAAAATAATGTCTCACAATCTCGAGCAAACTTACTATGTTTTCTTCATTTTCTGCTTCCAATTCGTCATCTGAAAAGTCGCCATCTGAGATATCTCCATTTGATATTCTCATGAGGATTTCTTCTGCTGTCGCATCATCAACTTTCTGACGTTTTGAAGCATGATCTTCAAGTCCTGGAGACAAAAAATCACACATAACCATCATATCTGCGCACACGGTGCGAAATGGCTGCCCTGCAACAAAGGCAGCACTAAGGCGCAATGTCCACGATCGTGGACGCGGTATTTTACGCACCCTTTTTGACGTTATAAATAGTTTCTAGTTGCAAAAGTCTTGTTTATTGGCATGAGGTATCTCTTAGCTCTTACTGACAAGTGCATAATTTCATGCCACCTCGAATGAAACATAGCAAGGGCTTGAAAAGTGAGAGCCACTTACGTGCGCCGCCGTAAAACGTGGAGGCGTCCATCTTTGAGAGTTGTTTTTGTAGTTATTTTGTGTCAGCTGCGGCAGATGGCGCCACGGGTCGCTGCAGCAACATGTAGTGATAGAGAGAGCACTGGTTGCGCGCGAGATTCAAAGTAAATTTCGAGATATTGAGCTGTGAAGTTGGCGTCCACAAATGTGGACGCTGCGCCTGAAGGGGATATGTGGATGCATTTGTCATGGACTTTCCACCAAAATCCTAAGCTCTCGTACTATGAAACAACATTTAACCGAACCTGCCTTCTACACACTGCTGTACCAGGGAATGAACATGTTGGCTGTTTCTGATGCTAATACATACTGGGCGACAAAGGCCATGGGATCACTTTGTAGGCAACGATTCAGTGGAGCTGACATCCCCGAAGCTCAGGGACGGATTATGCATTGTGGCACCGCTGCAGACAAACA